ATATAAGCAAACAAAACAAACAAAACTGATAAAGCAAACAAAACAAGCAAAGCAAACAAAACAAGTAAAACAAATAAAACAAATAAAACAAATAAAACAAACAAATAAAACAAACAAATAAACGAATAAAATAAACAAATAAAATAAACAAACATACGGCATCTCCTTTTCTCTCGCACCTCAGAGAACAAATTCTTTGAAAAAGCAATAAAATGAAATAAAATATATTAAATTAGATTAAAATAATAATATTATATTTATTTTAACTATTTTATTTATTATTTGTTTTTATTTATTTTGCTTTCATACGAAGACGCATTGATATCGGGAGGCCTCACTTGGGGCTGCATGCATGCATGCATACACTGAAGACGAAGTTTATATGAAATTTATTGTTTTTTCTGGGTTAAAAAGAAGAAATAAATAAATAAATATAAAATAAATAAATAAATATTGTTTTTATTTCTTTTTATTCATTTTAATTCAACAAAGAAGACAGAAAAATCTCTCGCGGCTGCCTTCACCCCACAGCGGAGCTCTTTAGTTTTTCTTTTTCTTTGTTTTTCTTTTTCTTCTTTTTTTTCTTTTAATTTATTTTTTATTTATTTATTATTTTTATTTCTTTTACGGTTATAATGGCGAGAAAACTACAGAAATTTCAAAAGGGAGAGGCTGCACAGTACACCACAAGGGCAAGAGCTCTAAAGAAGCTCCAGGTATATAAATATAAATATATATATATTTTTATTTATTTATTTATTTATTTATTTATTTTTATTATTATTATTGTTGGTGGTGCTGCTGCTGCTGATGCTTCTTCTCCTGCTGCTGCTGCTGCTGCTTCTTTTCTCGTTGCTCTTCTTCTTCTTCTTCTTCGTCTTCTTCTTTTCTTCTTTCTTCTTCTTCTTCTTCTATCTTCTTCTTCTTCTTCTTTTTCTTCTTCGTCTTCTTCTTTTCTTCTTTCTTCTTCTTCTTTTCTTCTATCTTCCTATTCTTTTCTTCTGTCTTCTCCTTCTTCTCCTCCTTCTCCTCACTCTTCTTCTTCTTCTTTATCTTCTTCTTTTCTTCTATCTTCTCGTTCTTCTTTTTCTTCTTTTTCTTCTTCTTTTCTTCTGTCTTCTTCTTCTTCTTCTTTATCTTCTTCTTTTTTGTTTTTTTTATCTTCTTCTTCTTTATGCTCTTCTTCAATCTTCTTCTTCTTCTTCTTCTTCGTCTTTCTTCTTCTTCTTCTTTATCGTTCTTTTTTCTGTCTTCTTCTTTTCTTTCTTCTTCTTCTTCTTCTTCTTCTTCTTCTTCTTCTTCGTCTTCTATTTCTTCTATTTCTTCTATCTTCTTCTTCTTTTTCTTTTTTATCTTTTTATCTGTCTTTGTTTCTTTTATCTTTTTATCTTTTTATCTTCTATCTTCTTATTGCTGTTTTTCTTGCTGTTGTTTTTCTTTGCGTTGTTCTTCTCCTTCTTACTTTTATTATTATTTCTTTTCTTTTTTCTTTTCTTTTTGTCGCATTGTTTCGCGTTGTTTTGCTTTTTATTGTTTTTTCTTGGCTTATGGTTGCTGCTCTTGCTGCTGCTGCTGCTGCTGCTGCTGCTGCTGTTGCTGCTGCTGGTAGTTGCATATGATATATATATTTATGTAACTTCTGCTGCTGTTATTGCTGCTGCTTCCGCTGTAAATTGCATTAATACATTTGTACGCTCCGTCTGCTGCTGTTTCTGCTGCTAATACTGCTGCTTCTTCTACCGCTTCTCTGCTGCTGCTTCTGCTTCTGCTGCTGCTGCTGCTGTTTCTGCTGCTGCTGCTGCTTTAGCTGTCGTTAGCAGATTTTCGACGGGTGTGTATACTGAAGGGTGTATTTCCTCGTGAACCAAAGAAGAAGAGATCGGGAGATAAAATATATTACTTGAAGAAAGATATAAATTATTTGTTAGCTGACACTGCTTTAATATCTGCGTTAAGAAATATTAAGAGCTGTAATAAAAAGATTAAAAAGAAATTAGGCAGAAAAGAAATTAAAGACGCAAAAAAAACAAAAAGAAATACACCTCAGCTGCCTCTTCAACATATTCTTCTTCATAAATTTCCTTCTCTTGCTGCTGCTGCTGACGATCTTGACGATTGTCTCTCAACTATCTTCTTACTTGCAAGTATGCTTCCTGCTGCTGCTGCTGCTGCTGCTGCTGTTGCTGCTGCAGTTGCTGCTGCTATTACTGGTGCTGCTGCTGTTGCTGTTTTTACTGGTGCTGCTGCTGTTGCTTCTGCTGCTGCATTTGCTGCTGCTGCTGTTGTTGCTGTTGCATTTGTTGTTGTTGTTGCTGTTGCTGCTTCTGCTTCTGCTAATGCATCTGCCCATGCTATATCTGTCTACTCTGCTGCTGCTTCTGCTTCTGCTGCTGCTGCTGCTGCTGCTGCTGCTGCAGGTTTGCCTTCGGGAGCAGGTCGTGGTTTATCAGCTGAGCGGGTGCTGCAGTGTGTAGGTTTAGCTGATGAGTTTTTATTGTTTGTTGCTGCTGCTGGTGCGCTGAGGAAATGCTTTATCTCAATAAAGGGCTTTTTCTTTCAAGCAGAAGTGCTGCACAGACAAATAACGTGGCTTATCCCGCATGCATTCGCACAGGTATACTAACTCTGCTGCTGCTGCTGCTGCTGCTGCTGCTGGTCGCGCTGCTGCTGCTGCTGCTGCTGCTGCTGGTCGTGCTGCTGCTGCTGCTGCTGCTGGTCGTGCAGCAGCAGCTGCTCGTGCTGCTGGTCGTGCTGCTGTTGGTTCTGATTCTGCTCCTCGTGCTGCTGGTTCTGATGCTGCTGCTGCTTATGCTGCTGCTGCTGCTGCTGCTTATGCTGTTGCTGCTTGTTGTGTTGCATTTGCTGATTGATGTATTTAATTTGTCTCATAAATAAATAAATAAATAAATGTTATTTTATTTTATTTTATTTATTTATTTATTTTATTTGTTTGCAGGCTCTGCCTTTCGACGTTGATTATCGCGTGTTGGAGACATACGGTGTCTTTTATATTTGTTTGCTGCGTCATCTGTTATTTAAATTATATAAAATGAAGGGGCTGCAGTACCCTCCTTTGAGGCCTCGCAGTAAAGCAGCAAATAAAAGAATATCTGCTGCTCCTGCTGCTGCTGCTGCTGGTGGTAGTGCTGCTGCTGCTGCTGGTGCTGCTGCACGGGGCTCCCGTTTTGTTGCTACGCATCAGCTGCAGCAGCACGTCAGCTGCTTTCATCTACTTAAAGCCACAAAGGTACCTGCTGCTGCTGCTGCTGCTGCTGCTCCCGCTGCTGCTGCGGCTGGGAAGGCAGAGGCTGCTGCTGCTGCTGCAGCAGAAGCACCAGCAGAAGCTAAGAAACTAAAAGAGGAGGCAGATGAAGACTTGCAGGAAGCCACAAGTGCTGGCAGCAGCAGCAGCAGCAGCAGCAGCGAGCAGGAGACAGATGATGAGGAGACACCGAAGAGAAAAAACCTAAAAGCGCAACAGCAAAAGAAGACACGCACTGCAGCAGCAGCAGCAGCAGCAGCAGCAAAGAGTGCAGATGAGTCAGAAGGCGAGGAAGGAGACACTAAAGAGGAAGAAGCGAACACAGAGACAAAAGAAGAAGAGACAGATGAAGAAGAAGAAGAAGATGAAGACGAAGATGAAGAAGAAGAAGATGATGATGACGATGATGAAGATAAAGAAGAAGAAGATGATGATGATGAAGATAAAGAAGAAGAAGATGATGATGAAGAAGAAGAAGAAGAAGAAGAAGCAGAGACAGAAGAAATTCAAACAAACGAACAAAGCGACGGCAATAACGCGAAGGTGAGACACAAATAATTATCTTCTGCTGCTTCTGCTGCTTCAGCTGCTTCTGCTGCTTCTGCTGCTCATCCTCCTGGCACGGCTGCTGCTGCTGCTGGTGGCGTTGCTTATTATGCTGCACTGCGTTCTGCTGCTGCTGCTGCTGCTTAGGAGGCTGCTGCTGCTGCAGTTAAAGGTTGCGGTGTCTCCGAGCATCCCGTGCAACGCCTATTTGAGGGCCTTGTCTTCTTCATCTGCAGGTTTGCTGCTGC